TCACCCACTGGAGCAAGTGGTCAACTTCCATAGATTACGTTGGTTGGGGCATGTATTACGCATTCCACCAAATAGGTTGCCACAGCGAGCGATGTTCGCTGAGACAGGTAGTGGGTGGAAGAAAGTCAAGGGTGGTCAAGCTAAAACCTGGCATGAGGGTATGAAAACCCTAACCAGGAGTCTGGGTCGCGTTAGGCTCCCTGGATGGGGACCTCGGGATGATCATACCCGATGGTTAGAGCCACTGAGTGATATGGCTGGGTGTCATAGACAGTGCCGTTCGTGCATCTTGTCGTTTTCTCTGCAAAATTAGTCCACTGAAATGCTTGATCCTGCTTTCAACCTTTCCTGTTTTCCCCTCATGTTCATCCAAATGGGTAGCCAAAAGACAGCAACCAAAACCGGCGCACGACAGTGCATGGTTAATGGTTGTAGAAACTGAAACTGATTATTCGAGAGTGTAGATACCGATAGGAGGAAGAAGTTATCAAGTGGGAGCGACAAGCAGATAAGTCAAGATGCAAAGAATGGGAGGGGTCGTTTAGAATCTTATTGTCAAAGATCACACAAGACTTCATATGATCATTAGTAAGTTTTGTGGTTAATGACTCGGCAGAAATTAAAGATGCACGACTTGTGATTATCAGTCCACGACGAACAGTGTTGAAGTTTTCTTTCAATAAAGTATAATGGGGTTCATTGGAGTGACCAATGGGTTTAGTTGAGAAACAAATTAGGATTGGATTTCCACAAGCATTAAAGTTTATCATTAGTATAAATTACGCCGGATAATGTCAAGAGCGATTGTTGCAATCATGCTAGAAGGTCCATCTTGAGTAGTTTAGTAAAATCAAGTTTTCGCATGCTGCCAGCTTCAGCTTTGGCTTCAGTTGGTGCAGCCCGCCTTCCAGTTGGGGCCCAAGGGATGAGGATTGTCGCTGGTTAGAGACGCTAAGAGTTATGGCCCATAATAGAGGACAGTTGTGCAAATGCTGTGCGGTCTGCCTGTTGAAGTCCCAAATCCCATAAAAAGAAGACAAGCTAGCACAAACAGTGTAAACATGTTTGCCAAAACAAACAAAAATTGTCGTTCTTGTTATCCTTATCCACTGTGATTGTTTGTTCTCCACTCCACTCTGTTTTCTTCCCCCTTCCTTTTATTATAGTTTTTGCGTTGGCAACCAGGTGATAAATGTTTATATATTCGTGTGCTGTTTGTTCATTTATCCATTCTCACCGAAGACAGATTTCCTCTTTGATGATTTTCTGCAACGTCTAATTCATCTTTTAATGTATTTAACTACAGAAGAATGTGTCGCTCACTCACCTGGCTCAGTCACTTCCCTCTCGCTTGGCCGAAAATCTGGCCGAGTCATGGCCACTGGAGGCGAGGATCGACGAGTCAAACTCTGGGCTGTTGGAAAACCAACTTGCATCCTCAGTCTGACTGGCCACACATCTTCAGTTGAAGCGATTGAGTTCAGTCAAGAAGAGGATTGTGTGGCAGCAGGTTCCCTGTCCGGATCTATACGCATTTGGGATTTGGAACAGGTGAAAAGTGAGTCACAGATGGCATAGTTAATTTCAACATGTTCTGTTTTGCATAAATCAAACTTATCATACTGCCTATTCGTTGAGGTCCACTTTCTCGATGCATCTCTTCAAACATCCTAACTTGATCAGAACTTCAGTACATACGAATAAAAATAATCTTTTATTCTCCTTCAGTCTTTGTCACTCCATGAAACAGGTTATTAGGCGCATTCTTTTGATATTTCTAGTCATGTGTTATGACAGGGTTGATAAAAACTCCCCTTAAATTTCATAGAAACACTAACGGAAAATAGGCTTGATTTAGGTGCTTCTTTAATAACACACTTGTTTGTTTGAATAAAAACAATATCGATTTTTGATTGCATAATGCTTGCTCATTTCAACCTCAGCATTTCTTTCCCGCTTCGACTAATAGGCCTTTTTGTTAGCAGGTCACAGGAAAATAGGTTTGGCTGATTAAGGGAATCTTACTTCTTCGTTCCAAACGTATGTCAAACTTGACCCTGTTACCAAATCCGTCAGTTCTTTTTCTTTTTTTCAAGTTCTTACGCATTTCGACGCTAAGTTATTTATCTGATGCGTGGAGTTGAATTCGACGACTGTTTCTGCTTCATTTTTTTTTTATTCAGTAGACAGATACACTTTTCAGGGAGGGGAAGCGGCCTATCCAAGGGCTTCCATCAGAATGGAGAAGTTAGTCGGTGGTGGTGGGATTCGAACACCTCCTCTGGGGTGACGTTACCACCAGGCCACCACCGCCCATCAGGCTTTATTCTGTGAAGTTGCAACGCACATTCCAAACGTGCTTTCAAGTTGAAGTTTTCGAACGAAAAGCTGTTAAGGCCACTGTTACAGTGGCTTAGAGGCCATCAGTTCAGATCCCACGGTCGCCACCACTCGACTTCCCTATTTTATGGATTTCCCCAGGAAGTATTTGATTAGTCTCAGCCTCCCTTTCTGAAAACTGATTATCTGATTGTATGTAAATTAGATGCAAAAGGAAGTAAAGGATCATACATGTTTATTTTAATCTCCTAGCCATTCTGTTTGTGTGGATTATCGTCCGGTCACAGAATAACCATTCGGTCATTCTCCGTAATTTTCGTTTGCCGTTTTTATGTTTACCTCTGTCGCGCTTATTTGTACAGTTGCCACCCAGAATTGGTATATAAGATCCGCTTCTCTTTTAGTTTGCCTTGAGCATCTCTCACAATTACCAGACGAAGAACATTCCTAACAAATAAATGCTTATCATTCCGGCCTCCAGAATGTTGGGTTGAAGTAGCATACCCAAATCTGTAACGAAGACCTGATTTTGTGCAAATCTTTCAATTGGAGCTAACCGGTGGCTGCCGGGTCAAGTTAACTGACTAACTGTCATTCAAGACGATTTCTGAATAAACTGGATTCTCTAATTGTGGTCAGTCCCGATGTGATCTGTTTGGCACAGTGGTAACATACTCGCTTTCTCCAAAGATATTCAGGAGTTCAGATCCCGAGTGGGCCGTTGGATTTACAATAGCAAAGCTCGGGCTTAGTGTCTCTCGAGTGCATGGTTCGTGCATCTTCTCAATTTCTCTGTACCATTATTCCACTGAACTTTTCAATTTTCTCTTCGATCCTACTTTCAACCTTCCCTGTCTTTCTCCTAATGTTCATCCAAATGGGCAGTCGAAAGATAATAATTAAAACCGGCGCACAATAGTGCATGGTTAATGGTTGTACAAACTGAAACTGAAACTGACGGTTTAGTAGGTGATATGGAAATTGTGCGTGAAAGGAAAATCTAATCGGCGACCATTCTAAATCAAGTTCATTTATCCCGCAGTACTCGCAAGTAACTGAAATAATTGGAAATACAATAAGCATTGCATCGCTTAGGTTTGTTTGATGATTTAGTGGTTCCGGTCTTATTTGCAGTTCTACTGGTTGAGATAAAACAGTAATAGTAGTATCAAGGGTGTTGTGTTAGTTTTTGGATACATTTTCATCAATTTAACTTGAGAAAACCACTGGCTAAAACTACTTCAACTTTGTCTAGTTCACACTCACTTGTTTCAGCTGCGCGACGAAACAGGCAGGATAATCCACCACAAAGCAACTTGGCCGCTGAACAAAGTGCTTCACTTAATTATTTGATGGGTGTGGTGCTGACAGGCTAGTTTGAGATCCAACAGCTGAATCTTCACCGGTGGTTTAATGGAAATATCCAACGAAACCCACAATGCATTCAAAGAGAAAAACAATTAAGCCTGATGGGCTTCTCTGAATCCTTTCAATATTGGGATTAACTATCCAGTAGGATCTGGAATTGATGTACTGCATGATTCATCTAATAGAGTGGAAATGTTTAACGTGCTTGATTTTCTGGACACATGATAATTGAATACTTGTATAACCTACTAATCCGTAACATCGGGGGAAAGTATTTTGATGATTAGTGTAGTTTATATGAACCAAGTGTAATTGTAATGAGTTAGTTAGTGTAACAAGTTTAGTTTAACCTATCGGGGCCTTATGTGCTTCACCACTCCAAGTCCCAGGGCTTAGGTTTCCGATTTCCATCCTGAACAGCAGGTCCTCGTGACTATGGGACTTTCCCCGTCTGCTGTTCATCACACGAAAAGTGTGTAATAAAAAAGACGAGTTTAGTGCCGACTCAGTTGATCGTTTAAGATAGAAACCGAAGTTTATCTTTGTAAACCGTTATACCCAGTCTTCAGATTTTTCCACCTTACCTTCCTACTAATATCAATGCTTGATCGTAATCAGTTTTCAACTGACCCGTTGGTTCATATTGTTTATTGTGGAAATCCCATCCCAGATTAATCTTACGTGTTTGAAGTTAGTTTTCTCTTATTTCGTATCTTCATGAGATGAATGAAAGGAAAGTTGAACCTCCTTGGCACAGGACTTGGTACTTTGTTACGGATAACGGCAACCTAAGGTATATGGCAAACCGCATGATACATCTGCAGACGATGCTCCAGTAAACACCGGTTCAGTGCCTCCCTTCTCGCCATTACATCGGTTAATCAAGGTTGATCAAGTACCCAAGACCAATATAATCATAACCGGCTTATTAGACAGTTGTCTGTCCGATTTACTGCATAATCGTTCGGTTTGATCACGGTTATTCGATTCTCTAACCACTCCTGTAGCCTGTCATAGTCCCATGGGAGGAGTGATTACCCAGAAGTTCCCCATAAATACTGGCATTCTTGGTGCTTCCATCTAATATGTTGGTGGTAGTGAGATGGTTTTGGTTATCGTCACCCGCCTACTTTGGGTCCTAAAACCCGAATATTCAAGCCTAACTTCTCTCTCCTCCGGCTCTGTATCATTTACATCTTATCAGGGCCTCATGTAGTTCGCGAATACAAATCCCAGTGTTTATATCGCCAGTGCGAATAGCCGAACAGTTTCAGTTTTTATAACCGCTAACCATTCACTGGTCAGTAGACCTTCGTGATTGAGGTGTATTCATTCTACCATTTATCAAACATTTAGGTGTGTAATAGAATAATGAAATTTGTTGGATCCGTAATTCAATCTCGTCGTCACTCTTTTCTCTTTCAGTTGTACGCGCCCTTTCCGGTCACACTTCAGGTATCAACTCGTTAGATTTTCATCCATTCGGGAACTTCGTCACTTCCGGTTCCGTGGACTCTCTCGTCAAGGTAACTAATAGTCACTTGATATTTGCGATCTCATGTCATTCCAAAATTTTATCTCTTTGTTCTATGTCAGTAGTACTACCATCCAACCCACCTACAAAACATCGACTCATAGTATTGACTCTTCAATGAACTGGCTCTGAAAGAGCTGTCTATCCAAAAACCACCCGGTGTTGCGAACAAGCTCATTGCGAAGAATATATCTTTGATGCAGGTAGGCCAACAAGCCTGTCTGGAGCGTACAATTGAATCCTTATGGATCGATATTCGCTGCGTGTCGGAAACTCGGATCTTACTACTCTAAGCTTACCTGATTTGTCGTTGAGATACGTTCTTCGCACATCAGACGACGATGAAGCTCGTTTAGTAGGTCAGCGTGGGTTAGGTATTGTACTTAGTAACAGGACGGAGTCCTCTCCTATCGATTGGATCCCCGCCAACAGTCATTTATGTGTAGTGCGTCTCCAGGGTTCAATCATCGTCCGGAAGGGAAGCAACACCAAAAGGTGTTTGTTCATCGTATCAGCATACGCACCGACCAAATGCAGTTCTGATACCCAATAGGACGCTTTCTACGACGAACTCACCGATCTCATTCGGATGAGTCGAAGCTTCGACATAGTTGTACTTGCAGGCGACTTCAACGCGCAGGTTGGAAAACTGGGCGCATCAGAAGCTCGCCTAGGCGGAAGTTGTGCTCTACCCTGCCAACGAACGGTGATCGACTTCTTCTGCGCGGATCATCATCTAGCACCAACTTCCGACACAGCTCTCGACGGGCGGCAACGTAGCGCTTCAATTCCACTGGTACGCTAACTCATATCGACCACATAGCAGTAAGCTACCGTTGACGTGGCTCAGTGCAGAATTGCAGGTCCTATTGGACCACCTGCGTTGAGTCTGACCACGCATTAGTTTTGATGCAGTTCACTCTCCGACTGACTGGTCGGCGACAAAATCAACAAACTAGGATAGTTCATCATAAACTTTTCCAGCAGTTCGTGTACGCTATGAATCAGAGCGAGTGCGTGAGCTAAGCGCACCTCAATGTGGTGATGCAGATGAGCAGTGGGATTAGATTAGGTGATCAATGCATTCCGCAGCGAATGTTGCTTGTGGGTCTGAGCCTCAAGCCCATCTGAGGCATTGGATATCTCGGGAGTCAGAAGTTTTGATGGAGAAAGAACGGCAAATCCCAACCTGTCGGGATCTTTAATAGAGTTAGGTGTCATCTACAACGCCAGCTCACGAAGAGCCTCAAGAAGGACCGTGAAAACTGGTGGGCAACAATAGCCAGTGAAATGGAAGTAGCGGCTGCATCAGGGAATAGTCAAAGACTGTTCCGATTGATACGTAATACGGAAGGTCGGCGAACCACAGTTAGTGAAACAATCTGCGATAAGATGGGACAAGCTATTCACAATAGAGATCAGCGGCTCGATCGCTGGGCAGAATACTTCAGCGAACAGTTCACCTGGCCTAGTGCTAATCAGGCTGCTTCATCTCCAACTGAGGCTCCGTGGGCAGTGTCATGCTATGCTCCGGTAGAAGCAGAAGTTCGATCTGGCATGCAAGCTCTGAAACGAGGAAAAGCAGTAGACCTTGATGGGCTCCTTTTCATTCTTTTCAAGATGGAGGGTGACAATCTCCTAAGTTCTACTAATTTACTGTACAGCATTTGTTCGCAAGAGCGCATTCCTTCATCTTGGGGCGAATCACTGATCGTTCCCATTTTCGAGAAAGGATCCCGCAACGATTGCGAAAACCGCCGCGGGATCAGTTTGATCCCGATTGTCACCAAAGTTATACTTCGACATCTGACGCCTTTAGGAGAGGCCAACATCCGTGAACAGCAAGCCAGATTCCGGCCTGGTGGTGGATATATTGATCAGCTTTTTACTTTGCGTCAAATCCTTGAACTGCGTCACACCCACCGTCGGCCAACGATCGCAGTGTTCCTTGACCTGAAAGGAGCCTTCGATTGAGTTAACCGCGAAGCTCTAATGGGCTCCCTTCTCCGAAAAGGAATGACCCAGAAGTACTTTAACCTACTGATGTCACTGTACTCACATACCTCTGGTCGTGTTAGGGTTCACAACGAACTAAGTAGGCCGTTGGTCACCAGTAGCGGTATTCGTCAAGGGTGCCCTCTTCAGCCGTCCCTGTTCAGTTTCGTCGTAGGCGAAATACTGGAGAGCGCACTAAGGGGACTCCAAAACTTAGGTATTGAATCGGAAGCTGGAGAAAAGCTGTGTGATTTGGCGTACGCCGATGACATCGTCTGTCGGTTGGAATGTCTGGAGGAATATCTGGACGCGCAAAGCGCAGTTGATAGACCAACAAGTGCAGTTGCCACATTCGGATTTGCTTTGCACCTTCATAGTGTAAAGTGATGCTGCAGGACTGAATTTCCTGTACTCCCGCTCTGGAACTAAATAGTCAGGATTTAGTTATGGTGGATTATTTTTCCTACTTAGTTGCGTGACTGATGACGGTAACGCAACAAAAGAGAACCGCCCGCATTTCCAAGGCTTGAGCAGCATACACAGGACTGAAACACCTTTGGCGTAAACGCGACGTTTCACTGAACTTGAAAGGTCATGTATATTGTGCTAGCGTTCGTTCAGTCCTGCTTTATGGTTGTGAGACCTTGAGTTTGCAAGTAGAAGATATCCGTCGATTGGAGGTTTTCGATCATCGGTGTTTACGCAGTTTAGCCCATGTGGGATGGCGCGAACGGGTTGGTAACGCAGAGGTAAGCCGTCGCGTGTTTGGGAGTCTATCAGGTATAAACCTGCTAGCACACCGAATTCAAATTAGTAG